CAGGTGGTGTCTCCGCGGTAAAGGGCGGTTATCGAGTGCGTGTGTGTGCAGTGCGCCCGCGGCGTGGGGGGGTTGCGGCACGATCGAACCGCCTGAGAGAGAGGGTCAGGTAAGCTGCCCACTTGCGGGATGGGGACAATGGTATTCCCAGTGCAGGGCTGACGGGACGGAAACCAAAATTCGACGCAGTCAGACGGCACAGCAACAGCATTGGATTTGATAGAATGCGTGCCGTGGTAACCCTACATGTACGGTGACGGGGGGCGCGCGCGCCTGGTTGAGCAATCAGATCGTCGGGTGGAGTTGACTTTTGCAATCGAGAGTTCTTGTCATTGAACACGGGTTCGTCGCTAAGTACCGGCAACGATGATATGACGAGTATTGAAGCAATCACACTTGCGATTGCAGGAAGCCAATATGAAAATCGGTCGTGTTTGCTGTCTGCATTCGACGGGGGGGGCAATGTTGTCTCTTGGACAACATGGTACTTCATTTGGGTTGCCAATATCAACGGGGTGGAACTTCTCATTCCTGTCTTTCGCGGGAATGCATACGATCTCTTCTGAAGCACAACCTTTCCCAAAAACGCTCCAGCCTGGGTGAAACCACATCGGCGATGAAGTAACGGAGTTAAGAGAAGATGTCTCTGGGCGCAGATTATCTTGACTGTGAATAGATCCCAACCCGCGTAGTTGTAGAATGTCGTCCTGCCGACAGGGGAAACCACACGTCCTGCAGATCTCCTTTCCTTGTGCTGTATTCAAGAAGGCCGTTTTTGTGAAGCTATTGAAGGTTCTGGCCCACAATCCCGGTTCATCTATGCTGGAAGCATTGTCAAATGATGCAATATCGATGAATTGACAAATAAGTTTGCTGAGCCTGCAGTGCACCTCCGCTGCTCTTCGCCCAGGATATGCGACCTCCTTTGTGGCTACGCCTGACTTGACTGCGTTCTGTATCAAGACCAAATCTGTGGCTGAAGAACTTGCTGCAAAGATGTCCCCGTTTCAATGTTTGATGGTGGGAGCATCGAGGCCATAAACAGGCATCTTGACTGATCATGTGCCTGCGCAACGACGGCCAGCTTCTCCTACCTGGGCTCATCAGAGGTTCATAAGACTGCGAATTAGTTTCCTCAAACAGATCCTCTATCTTTCTAGAATCAGGAAGCAGCCTGCTGCTAGTATGTCTGTCCGTGAGTTGCTCGAGCATGATAGATACATATCTATCGAAAACGGATACAGTTGGAATCCAACCATTCCCGCCGAGTTTTCGTGGTTACCATTCCATGTTGCCTTTACATCGGCACTTGAGTGGCCCAATTCAGTTGAAGAGCCACCCCCAATACCCAAAATGACCTTCGTAGCCCGTTGCGCTCGGCAGCATTTCATCTCTGGACTTGCTGTAGTTTCCTTGCGTCGATAACACACCAAGGCGATGGGTTTTGAAAACGAAACAGAACCCTATCATATAGAGCAGTATAACTACCGTTGTACATACAAGTGAAATGCCTCCATGGGCGCTTCATACGATTCAACACCTCATTTCTCAGCAGGCGTCAGCATAAGTCGCGACTCAGCCGTCCACATTTAGAATCGTAAAGTCCAACGCAACCAGCTCAAACGGTGTGAATTGTAAATTTAGTTACTCACTAGACAAACCCTTAGACTACTGGATAGTGTTGAAGATATTCGAGCGCTTGGCAAGTCAGCGGTGGTGATTTGCGATATTTTTACTGCAGAGTTTATACCTCACTTAACTCAAGAGGGCGGCGACCGCACCACAGCAGTCGGTCCAAACATATACTTAATGAACACCACAACTTCAAGTCTAATCGTTTCTTCCGAGCGGCTGACGAAGCCGGAGGTCCTTAGTTATTTGCAGTTGGTGATGTTGGTGAAAGCAGTCGTTGGAAGTCTTCCCGGACAACCAACAGTCACACCTGCCATGCTACGACCATGTTCACTCTCGCCTCAACGCACACTATTCGTTAGACTAACTTGAATCGTATGATATATTTCTTGTCGCTTGTAATCATTCTATCTTGTAAGTCATGCGGCTCCGTTATAATCTTTGCCCCCAACGCCAACAACAAAGTCCATCGTCAAGTGACTCAAACCAACAAGACCTCAGGTGTACGCCATCTGACCCATCTCGAGCGCCAACTCATCACCTCAAATCACGCCTTCCAAGCAGTCCTCCTCAACCAGTCCCCAACAACCCTCATAACCTTCACCGCCTTAGCATTCCCATCCCTCACGCTCACCGGATCCGACACCGCAGCCCCCATTTCATGGAAGTCAAACGCGTGAATCACATCCGGCACAAGCAACCACTTCACACTGCCCCTCCCATCCCTCACCTCCCACCCAAACCTCTCGTCCCCAGACTCCACCAGCTCCTGCGTCTTGGCCACCTCGTTCCGCCCCGCCATCCCAGACGTAGGCTTCCCCTTCCCGCCGAGCTTGCACGCTAGCTCCCATGCCTCGTAGGCCAGATAATCCAGCTCCGCCGCGACGACGCACACGTTATCCGGGAAATCGTCCCTCTCGGCGTACAGCGGCGAGATGCGCGTATCGCGCAGGTTCGTGCCGTAGGGGATGTAACTCCAGTCAAACACCTCCGCGAAATCCAGCACAAAATCTCTCTTCTGGCCGCGGATGCCGGGTAACTTCCCAACCTTATACGGCCTCCTATCACTCTTCGACGCCGTCGGCGTAACGAAATCCGTGGGCGGGTAAATCGGCACAATCGCCTTCGGTGCAGCCGTCCTGTGCTCCTTGATGCTCTTCATCTGCGAGAGACACAAAGTCAGGTTCCCTCCCGCGCTGAAGCCGCCCATGGCGATGCGCGACTTGTCGATGGGGAGGGACTCGTCGTCGACGATGGCGAGGTAGAGGGCCTCGAGGTCGTGGAGGGCGTGCGGCCAGGGGGCCCAGGGGGCTTTCCAGTAGTGCAGGGCGACGACGAGGCAGTTGTTGAGGTCGGAGAAGGTGCGGTTCCATTCGTCATCGTCGTCGGGGACACCGATGGAGAAACCGCCTCCGTGGATTGTGAAGAGGGTCGGGAGGGTTTGCGGGGAGGTTTGGTCGTAGTCAGAGGGGAAGAAGATGCTGCGGATGGTTGTCAGCTGTGTCTTGGTTTCGTGACTTGCGCAGAACGGAAAACATACCGAACTGGCAGCGCCTTTCTACAGTCATACTGCTTGATGAGATCGGGCCGTATGGCGGGCGGCCAAAAGTACGACTTCCACGCCTCGAAACCAGCCTTTTGAAAGTACCAATGCTGCAATGTTGAAATCTTGGTACCGTACACGATGCGATTGAGCATCGAGGGCGCTTGCTGGTAAACCGGCTTGCCGGACTCTGCATTCCCTGCTACACCCATATTTGCCATATCTCGGGAGAGTCACGGCTTTACGACAAAGGGTGATGTCAACGTTATATGCTCACCACTAATGCCCGCTCAAAGCATGCGGAACGCGATGACTGAAAAGGTGTTCGCCGGTGACGACGGTGGCCCAGGTACGGAGTCCGAGAGGTCAATGGTCCCGAGACGACGAGAAAGAAAAGAATCTGCCAGAACACCAGAGCGCATTAGCCGCGAAGTGTCTTTTTCCCTCGCAACCAGACGAACGACTTTAGGCTGGGATGAGACGGGAATCGGCAGAGGGAGCCAGCGGCAGAGAGCGACAGGAGCCATAGAGAGGCGTCATCGTGCGTTTTGACGTGACTTGGAGGCAGAGAGAAGGAGGCCTACTCGGCGTGCCGGACTCTCGGTTTCACGAGGCAGAATGGTGTAGCCTGATGTATGAGCTTGCTTGCGTCCGGGAATCGCAAAAACGCCGAGTACCCGGACATACGATGGCCACAGGAAGGAAGAGGAGCACGGGCGGTGATGACAGCCAAGTCCAAGAGAAACACACACAGCTGGACTTACTTGATGGCAGATGGTGGCGTAGATGAATAGCGACGGATGAGCAGTGGTAGAACCAGGCAGGTTTGATCGTATAATTCAGAAACATGGTCAGTCAACTCGACGATCCCTTGCTGATACGTCCACCTTCTCAAGTTCTCCCATCCCACTCAACGTCATGCTATCCCGCAATCCTAAGAAAGCACCCCCATTGCTTCCTTCTCCCATCAAGAAACAACAAGAGGGGCTGGAGTGGGAGGGTCCAGGGGTGCAGGGTACGTTGGCACACGTTCATGCTAAGCTTGCCCGGCACGTCAAACAGCTAAGTTTTGGAGGGGCTCAGGCACATGGTCTGCGCATTGTCGGACGGGATGCATGTTGCCTGTGCTTGACTCCAGTGCGTGTTTCTAGTTTTGGCTGGTTTTCCTGGTCGAGGCATCGAAGGGGTCGAGGTTCCCCCTCCCCCTCCAACAATAATACTTCTGTATTGCCACCTCTTATCGTTATCACCTCTGGTACAAGACAAGGTAAGGTAGTTGGGGTAAGTAAGGTAGTAGCCCCAAGCTCCTCGGAGAGAGCATGAAAGTCCCTGGTCCCGTCCCATCTGTCAGGCAGCTTGAATCAGTCAGCCCAGATGGCTTGTGTGCGTGACTCATCATAAGGGTAGGCGGAGACTCTCATCCAGAAGCGGACAATTGTTGCTTTTCACAGGTCTCCTTCAGTCATTGAACAAAAGGTGATCTCGGCATGGCGCTTCCGAAATGCGGCCGGAGCTCCGGTGGGATGGCCGGACTTGGGACCGTCACTAAAAGCTTACACCCGCTTGAGCTGGAATGCTCACAGAATGGTTTACAATCTCTCGTGATCATTGCTGATTTTCCAATAATCATAGAAAGATCGAGATTGTGACAATTGAAGACCGAAGGCAAAGAAAAGATGACCTCACATCTAGAAAAGAATAATCGTGCATGTTCTCCATTCAATCATACTTTACAGATGCAGCGTAAACCAAACACGTAATTGTACAAAACGGTGACTCCTAACCGTCTACTCATCGCATTAAGCCATGGGCGCGTCTATTCATCTCAGAGGCTTGTCGGCTTCTGCACCACAACCTCTTCGTCATCATCCGGGTCCTCGATGCTCGTCCGCCGAGCAGCCTCGACGGCCGCCTGGACCGGTTTCTCGTCGTCTCCCGTCGCCGTCTCTTCTGATGGCCCCTTCTCGCCATCATCCTTGCCATCCTTCTTACCTGCAAACGGCCACAGACCGCTAAAGGCTTTGCCTCCTGAAGCACCCTGCGGCGGGTGTACCGCGAGAGGCTTCAGAATTACCTTCTCGTTGGGATCTGTACCCGGCGCTGGCTCGACCTCGGGCATGGCAAAATCACCAAACTCCTCATCATCGTCTTCCTCGTCCGAATCATCTTGTCCGTCAAATCGGGGCCGCCCCTGACGTCCCACTCCTCGCCACCACGACCCACTTCCTGATTGACCCCAGGCACCTGCAACAGCCGCCGCTGCTCCTGGGCCATGACGGTCTTCATCGTCCTCGTCGCTCGAATTTTCCTCGTCGTCTTCGTCATCGGCAAACGGGTTCTCTGGCCGCTCGCCCTCACCAGACTCGCCCTTGTCGTCGTCGTCGTCTTCTTGAGAAGCAGCGGCCTGGTTCTTCTGGTGCATAGCCAAACGAGCTGCAAGCTGCAACCGCGCTCTAGAAGGAGGGTTGTTCAATGGTGGCGGCGGTGGTGGAGGCGGGGGTATCGATGGCGGGTTGAGAGACGACGAGGTGTTGTTCAATGGATCGGTGTAAGCCCGGAACTAGTAAATGCGTGTTAGTCTGGTGAGATTCATTCCGGCATTGGCGCACGATTGTAAGAAAGATCCCAGAGGCAAGTTTCGTTATTGTCGTTTTGCTGTTATAGATGACCCGGATCGCAAGTGGTTGAAGTGGATAAGAAAAGTCCAAAGTTGTCTGGTATCCCAAGGAATCGACGCCGGCATGAACAAGGACGTGTAATCCTACACTACTCGCCGCCACAAGATATACCATGAATACGCCCAACATCATCCTCTCCTATATAGCTCCCGAGGCCTCTCTACTCTTCTCCTAGGTTCTCGTCCTCGACATGTCTATCCGTTCTCCTTCTTAGCCACGACATAAAACTGAGGGTAGGCCGAATCATGTGCATTTCCTCATCAGACTCAACATCTCTGAGCTCATCGCCCCATACCCCCTCATCGTCCCGAGATACAAAAATCGGCGAATCGTTGCTTTCGCCCTCTACTTCTATCCTATATCCAAAGTCATCGCCGGCGCCGTCGGTGTGATCCTCTGGGGATATTCGACTGTCGTGGGGTCTCCCGTCCTCGTCTGCGCACTACGCATCCTTTTTCCGGTCTTTCTCCTCGTCCTCGTCCTCGTCGGGGTTGTTGTCGTCGATAAGAGATTGCGTCCAAGGGTCCAATGCAGGTGGTTCCATCTCACGGAGCTCTGAGAGCATATCACTCACCTCATTGTTGACATCGTCTTCGTTCTCTTCTTCCCCCTCGTCCTCCTCGTCACTGGAGCTGCCGAAGCCAGACATGAGAGTGCCTGAGCTGATGGCGAATGGCCCAATACCGTTACCGCTGCTTTCCTGCAGGTCTGCGTTGCCGTTGAGTCCAGCATCAGCCAGCGCGTTGGAGCCAGTATTGCTCTGGGAGTTGGAAAAGGACGATCCCAGGCCAGAGAGACCGACTGCTGCCAGTCCGTTGCCAGACATGCCGGCCCGGTTACCCATAGCCACCTCGGGACGGACTCCGCCGAGAATGGCGTTGTCTCGCTCGCGAGTTTCGGCGAGGGCACCTTCCACGTAGCTGATCCATCGCGGGTCCATAACCCGTTCAAGGACAGTCTCAGACAAGAGTTCGGGAGGGTGACGTTCCGTAAACTTCACCACCTCTTCAGCGATGAGAGTGAGATGTCCCATGTAACCCATGCGAGTCTTCATCCTGGCCTGTGACTCGTCACTAGCGAGTTGGCCCTTGATGATAGCTGTCGTGATATCCGCAGCCTCGAACAGTGAAACTGCCAGGGTCGGGTTGTAGCCTCTGTCCATAGGCCCGTTAAAAACCTGCTGAACGATATCATATACCACGTTATGGAGAAAGTTGTTCCACGGGTAAGCAAAGAAGAAGGACTAGACTCTGATTAGCTTGGATTGATGACGTATTGTCGCGAGGAACTCACCAGAATCGTAGGCACAACACGATATTCGACAAATTGCACCTTGAGGTAGTCGCCGACAACGGGCTTCACGCTGTTCGGGTCAGGCCGATCGGGAACAGCAGGCGGTAGGTCTCCAGCCTCCTTTGTCGCATCGTCGTCAGTTCCTGGAGCCACGGGGGCTTCTGGCACCTCGGGAACTGGAGGGGCCATGGGAACTTCCGGAGCAGGCTCAACTTCGGATTCGGTCTCATTAGAAGTATCGTCCTTGTCCGCAGTCGCATCAGGATCAGTGGTGGATTTGGAGAACAGAGGGGCTGGCATATCTTCAGGGTGCTGGAGAGGTTCAGGCACTGCCGGCGCGATCTCTGCTGGCTCGGTTTTCGCCTCAGAATCGGTGACGCTAGGCGTATAGACAACAGAAGAGTCGGACTCGTCACCCTTCTGATTGTCCTCGGGAACAACCGTTTGATCAGCCTTCTCGTCAAGCGAAAGTTCCTCTACCTTGTTAATGGTGGCATCATCCGAGGTCTTGTCAGCCAGGTCGTCTGCGCCGGAAGTCTTCTCAGTCTTCTCAGATTCTGATTCTTTCGCAGCCGGCTCTTCACTCTTGGCGTCAACAGTATCCGGCTTCGGCTGCAATTCGGACTTGGCTTCGGAGTTCGCTGCAACAGCAGTCTCATCGATGGAAGCAGTCTTTGGCTTGCTCGGCGACAGGGGAGCGACCACCAGATCGGGGTCATCAAACCGTTGTTCCTTGATTTTGTCATCTGCGACGTTGAGTCTGGGCGAGCTAAGCGGCTCGTCCACAAAGTCGTCTTCATCTCTGTCCATGAAGGACGAGGCTGGCGCAGCGACAGGAATCTCTTCTTCGGCTTTTACGAACTCGTGGGACGTGTCCTCGTTCATTTCGCGGCTGGGCTCAACCTCTTCGAATCCGTCATCGTCTGAGATATTGGTTACCTCTAAACGACGTCCCTCCTCGGGAGAAGAACGCCCGATGCGCATCGTCAAGTCATCCGTAGATGATGGCGGTTCTTCTCCACGGTTTGGGGTAAGCTTACCCTCCGTTCTTAAGCGCTGACGCTCAGCATCTCGAGCTGCAATCACGTCCTCGGAACCAACTTCATTGAGTAGGCCCATGTTACTGCAGTGAAGCAGCTCGGCCATCAACTCGCACGTTTTGAATCGGTCGAAGCCAAGAGGCTCTATCTTTTCGCCAAAGGTCGATTCCAACGGTCCCTTCTGCACCGGGGTGTTCATAATCAGGTTGACGAAATCGGGAATGTGTTGCGCAAACAAGCGGAGCAGGGTTCCTAGATAAATGGGGTCTCGGCTCGAGGGAACAGAGTTGGCTTCGGTGCCAACGTCTGGATCATAATCCGAGTTATTCTTCCTGATGACTTCGATGATGATACCGACACCCACGGTCAGCGGGTTTCCACCTCCTAACATGTACTTGATCAGCTGTTCCACACAGGGTTGCGACACCAGCTGGCGGGTGAGTTCGTTCGGGCCGATGCATTGCTGCTCGTTTTGCGATGCGTTGGCCGAGATGGTGATGATGGCTTTGATGAAGTCGCCTGCAGCTGTCTGGACAACCCAGCTGTGCTCCGGGCTGAGGCAGGATAGCAGAGTCGGCACGACATCTTGGCCGTATAGCCACTGTGAGAAGGGGCACGATTAGCTCTCAAGATTGTTGGGCGGGGATGGGGGGGATGGGGAATTGCTGGGCTGTACGCACCTCTACAACACCTTGGCCGCCCTCTGTGCGGTCTAGGGCAATGATCTTTAGAAGCAGATCCATAATCATAGGGCACTCGACATGACGGAGCAGGTCGGGCACGGCCTCGGGGAGAGATTTGAGAAGGATAACCATCTCCTCCGTCTTCTTATCGAACAATGCCTCGTTGACTTTCGTAAAGTAACTGGCTTGCAGAGGGTCAAGAGGCGTCGGGCGCTTTAGAAACTGCCAAAATTCCCGCACTAGGTCTTGGTTTTCCATCATGGCCTCGTAAATGGACCATGTGTCGGATGACAAGACTTCAGCAGCAACGTAGGCATAGCGATTGCGCTTCTTCTCCTGCTCTTCCTCCTCATTGTCGGTATCGGTGGCTCGGGACGAGGCGCGAGGTCTTGAAAAGGGAAGGAGGCGACCCTTGCCCTTGATCTCCTCGGCCGGTTCATCTGGTTCCGGGGTCGCGACAGGCTCTAATTTGGGTGCGACGACATATTCGAGCAGAGTCTTGAGGACATTGTCCTCGCGGAGGTATTCGATAAGCTTCGTGTTGTGCTGCTTGAGCTCTTGGATCAGGTCGCTTTCGTCGAGGAGGTCTTCGACGGTGAATTCAGGCTTTTCAAGGATAGTATCGATGGTGGATATGTTGGCGTATCCGCCAAATCTCCAGAACATGGTGGCGGTATTTGTGGGTTGTCTATGTCACGGCGCCGGACGAGTCGCGGCGACGATGGACAAAGAGCGATAAAACAATCAACTTAGCAGCAATCCGATGATTGAGCATGCGAAATTCGTATATCCTAATGGGATAGACAAAGGGCGTGTATCGGTCGCAAAAATCGAATCGTAGCGAGAGTCGTAGGTTGCCAGTCGTTTTCTCTATACCGTGGGCTCAACGCATGCGAAGGACGGGTTTGGGGGTATCGGTCGCTTGAGTGAGTTGGCGGCTGAGCGAGGAGGAAGGGTCAGCAAAGAGGTTGTCTAGAAGGCTTTTGCTGACAAGCGAGGGCTGAGCAGGAAACGGAGGGTTTGTTGGTGGTGGTGAGGTCTGCAGATGTTGTCGCCGGCGGAGTGGAGGGGCCGGCGCATCGGGCCCAGAAAAGAGGAGCTGATTGATAATAGAGGGGGGGGGAGGAAGAGATGAGGGAAAATTGACGATGCAGGTCTTGAAGGAGAGGGAAAAACCAGCCGCGAAACGATGAACGACAGAAGGGATTCCGAGTCAATCCAGGTCGCAACGCGCGTACTCTATCCAGGCAAGCGGAGAGCAGCAGGAAGCACCATGAAGCAAAGCAGTAGGGAGCAGCGAGCCAAGGCAGTGAGGCAACGAGTTCGGGGGGTTGAGGAGGAGGAGGACAGTAAGGTAAGGTAGGTAGGCAGAGGACCAGGGTACGTACAAAAGCGGGAAAAGGTAGGTGGTTGCTGTTGTACAGAGGGCGCGCGGGCGCTCTAAGCCTCGTATGCAAGGAGACCTAGGGATGGGAGGACGGGCTGAAGCCGGAGCCTGTCGTCTGTGGTCGGATAGATAGGTATTGGACGCTTCGAATGTGGTCGCGTGGGCTCTGTCCGTACGTCTCGCTGTCTTTCTCTCCTTGTCGGTGTTGTGGGAGAGGAGGGGTGATGTGTGGGTGTGGATGTGTGGATGCGTGGATGCGTGGTGGTTTTTGGACTCGGGGAGAGAATGGCTGTGGTGAGGGTGAGGGTGAGATGGGCCACCGGACGTCGTCGAGATTGGAT